ATTTACAGTATACTTTCATTTTGGGTATCAGGAACTGAAGCCAGGATCTTGAATTGAGCTGTATCTCAAGCCCTTCATTTAAAAAAAATATCTGAGTGGATGGAGAGATAGCTCAGAGATCTAAGTGGCGGGCTGACAAGTGCAAGGACCCAGGTTCAATCCCTGGTACCACCTGCTATGCCATAGCACCAGCCCCCAAAATTGGGCATGGTGGTGCACACCTATAATCCCAGCACTGGGGAGGCAAGTCTGAGGTGTATAGTGAGGCCCTCTACCAAACAAACGAATGAATGAATGAATGAATGAATGAATGATTGATTGATTGATTGATTTTTAAAAATCTGAAACAGAATTTCACTAAGTCACACAGACTGGGCCTGATCCTCCTACCTCACTTCCCAGAATGCCAGACTTACAGGCGTGTGTCACCACATTCAGCACCACTACATACATTTATTGTGAGCCAAACCTCTATGTTAGATGGTAAGGTTTGAGTCATTTCTGTTATACAGCTTACAGTTTAGTTGGACAAGCAGGCAATAAGTGGTATTACCCAAGATACTGTAATTGTGCTAAAATCCTAAAAAAAAAAAAAGTATAAAAAAACTATGTAAAAGTAACTTCATCTGAGCTGTAATATCATATAATGTAAGATTTCCCCAAGAACAGTTTATGCTGAGAGCTGAAAAATACCTAAAAATTAGTATGAAAAATTGTAAAGGACATTTCAGGCAGAATGCATTCCCTATGACAAAAAGGACCTTGTCACATTCAAGTAACTAAGTCAACCAATGTGGCTAATGTAGGAAAGACAAAAAGATAAAACCTGGAGAGGGAGCTGTCAAACTATTCAGTAATCCATAAACCACATTAAAGCATTTCGCATTGTTGTAAAAGAAATAGCCACTTACGTTTTAAGTAGAAAAATAGGACATTTTTAAAATCATAATTTTAAGATTGTTATGCAAAGAATCAATTAGAGAGATGCAAAGTTAATTGAAGAAAACCAGCTATATAGGTTATTTTAGTTACCTAAGTGCAAGATAATAGCAATATGGATAAGGCATGCCAAAAGTACACATGAAAGTAGATGGACTCAGGACATTAGAGAGTAGATCTTGACAAGACCTATTGAAAGACTGGACAAAGACAAAGAAGAAAGCAAATATGATTTTAAAATGGTATCATTAACTACATTAGAAACACTGGAGAGCTCACTTTGGACAGAGATTATAATTGAGTTGTTGAATTTGTGGTGACACTAGTCTAGAAAAACAGTTGAATAGATGACAGGGTACAAAAGCCTGAAAACCATTAACAGACTTGCTGAAAGGAAGCTTGAAAGAATTTAATGTATATGGTACATTATGTCAGAGTTTGAAATGACTTAAGGAGAGAAGGTGGATGAGAAGATGACCTTAAGAAATTCCACAATCTAGAGCTGGGGAAGATAGCTCAGCAGTCTAAGCGCCTGCCTGGTAAGCACAACAATCCAAGTCTGATCCCTGGTACCGCATCCCATGCCAAGCCCCAGAACCGCAGGTGTGGTGGCACATGCCCACAATCCCATCACTGGGGAGGCTGGGACAGGATTACTATGAATCTGAACTGTATAGAAAGACCCTCTATCAAATAAATAAATGATTTTTTTTTTTTTTTAAAAAAGGAATTCCATGATCTAGGGGTCAAAGAAAAAAGGAAAATCTAAAAGAACACACTGAGAGAAAATGTGGTATCCCCAAAGTCCAAAGATGAAAGTTTCAAGAGATGAAAGACCAAACACTGGTAGGAGGTCAAGTAAATTAAAGAATTATCTGTTTTCCGGCTAAATAGCTCAGCAATCTGAAACACCTGATTAGGCAAGCTTAGGCAAGTGCTCAGGGACTTTGGTTTGATCCCCAGCACCACATGCAGAGCCAGCCCTGCCCCTAGGACAGTCTAAGCCAACCACAAAAAAAAAAAAAAAAAAAAAAAAAAAAGAATTATCTGTTTTCAATTTTATAGGCTACTTCTTTCTGCATGCATATTTGTAAGGAAGTAAGTTTGTCAGTATAGGTTTTGGCAACACCAAAGCATCATTTTAATGCCATGATTATGGAAGCTTATTATCCAAGCTTTTTAATAGCAGAATTAATTGGAGAAAAAAGATTTTTTAAGTCGCAATTTCAAAACAATTTAAATACCTTTACTGTAACTGCTATGTTTAACAAACATTAATAAGAATGCTTTTGCAGAAAAGAAACAACCAGATCAATCATAATTTTCTTATACACTATTTTCTGCTTTCTTTGTGTAGTGGCAATATGAGTATACAGACAGTTATTTCAAAACTCCCAATTATAAATATCTGTTTCTGAAGTTATGTAGACATTAAGCAAACTATGGAAAGATACACAAAGATATTAGGCAGGGAGGTTTGCAAGAGAAAGGGTCGAAGGAGGAGTTAAGAAAAACCTAGAGGTTTATAAAGTTATGCTTAAAAAAAAGTTGTTTCCATACATTTATGTTACATATGTGTAGATCTTATCTCATATGCAACACAAAACTATTGTCTTACTTCAAGGAGAAATTCTACAAAAAAACTGTCAGCTCCATAAGCTACACTGCTTTTGTTAAATGAAAAGGACAAGATCAAAAGAATGTCCTTATTATAGTAAAGACAAACCACTTACATTTGCATGAGCAAGGAAAAAGAATACAAACATATTAAAGAAGCTAACACTGACTCCATCTACAAGATGGAAGCATAAAGGGAGCTTTGCTTTCACACACCTTTGACACACTGTTCCTCCCAAACACATAGTGTTCTTCTGAAAAATCAGAGTACAATCATTTGTGGAGGGGGCTTAAAAATGCATACCTTGGCCTTGCCATACTTTAGATGGTATTACTAATATTTTATCACAGGATGCAGAGGGCTGGATCCACCTCCAAACTAGAAAATCTGCACCACCTATTCTTCGTGTTTCCGTGCGAACTCTAGACTCGTTGGCAGCAAGGAAGTCAACAGCTCTATCCCAGACTTTCTTCATTTTTTTCCTATTATGTAAATAAAAAGACAATTTTACCATCATCTTGGCTAATCTTTTTTGAAATGACAGTAAGTGAAGTAATGGCTAATGCTAATTCTGGCTATTCTTAGTATTATTCCCAGAGTTTAGTTAAATATTAGATACTCACGGATCACCTCAAGGTTTACTAAATTTCTAAAAATGAAGTATGAGCTTTTTGCTTTCTCTTTCTAAATCTACAAACTCCAATGGTGGCCATGCTGTGCTGATACAATTAAGAATTCTGTTTTAAGATATGTCATGATTCAATTTTAAAGTTTTTTTTTTGTTTTTATTTTGAAAGCTTCATTAACATAAATATCTTAAAACCTTGGTAAAACAGCACTGATATGTTACTTTATCAAGATGAAATTAAAAGAAAATTGGAACTATTAAAAAAATTCAAGTATAGGAATAAGAGTGATTTAGAAACCCAGTTGCCTATTATGTTATTCAAAATCAGGAGGAAAATTGAGTAAATTTAGAAAGAAATGAAAATGTCCAATTATTTTTGAAATCTGTGTAAAACTTTCAAGATAATTTTATTTTGTTCTGAGACAGGATTTGGCTCTGTAGCTCAGGCTGGCCTAGAACTCATGGTGATCCTCCTGCCTTATCCTCCCTAGTGCTGGGATTGCAAGTATGCACCATCATGCTGGCTCCATATAATTTTCAACATTATAGAAAGTAACATTCCAATTTAATTTAGTTCACAATGTTTGAACATACCTGTCACGAGGCTGTATTAAGGAGTCTCGCACATGTGGAATAGGCATATAAGGTTGTACATCTTTATTTTCCTGGCAAGCTTCATTATGACTTCGTAAAACATCTGAAAATAAATCAAACAACTTTACTAATTAATCACTTCATATCATGTTGAAGTTCACCATATAATGACTGTTCGTTATATAATGATGATTTATAAATACCATACCTATAATCTTTACTACCATATCATACATCTGCCTTGTTTCCTCCTCTTCTTTTGTCCAACGATATTTCATGTAACGCAGAACAACACAAACCATCACTACACCTGCAAAATTTATATCATTTGTATTTTAAAAAACTGAAGGTCAGTAGCATTCAACAACACTGGAAATAGTTTCTAACATGACTACCTTAAATGCCTCAATGAAGTAGTAGAACAAGACACAGGTTTGAAGTAACTATATATAAAACTACATTAAAATTTAATATTAAATAGTTTCCAAACTTTTACTTCTCTCCAGAAAAAAACATTCTTCTATACATATGCTAGTGAACATTTAAAATCTGACTATCGGTTTATACTGTTTCAGACTGTGTAGTACTAAACCACTAGAAAAGTGAATTTTATTAGACTAAAAGTACTAAAATCTTACTTTTAACAAATTTAATAATTTTTAAAGGATTATATAAGAAAAAAGGAGTAATTTCCTAAATTCCAATTACCAATCAAAAATTTATAAAATCTAATCAGAAATTTTTCATTCTCATAAATGATATTATTCAAAGTAATTTTAATGAGCTTGATTTACATTTTAATTTTTTTCCAAAGTACTGAAGAATTTCTTTTTTTGTTTGTTTGTTTTTGGCAGAACAGAAGATTGAACTCAGACCCTTGGGCTTGCCAGGGAAGTGATTATTCTACTGAGCCATCTCCCCAACCCCTTATTTGTTTTTTGAGACAGGGTTTCATAACACCTTGAAGGCTGGCCTTGAACTCACTATGTCATCCAGACTGGCCTCCAACTCACAGCAATCCTCCTGACTCAGCCAACCCAAGTGCAAGGATTACCGGCTTGTGCCACCACAATTGGTCTCTAAAGTAGATTTCTACATACATATTAAATACACTTGCTCTATAACATTTTATAACAAAGTTTTAGTTCTCTCTCTATATATTACTGTTTTCTAAGCCCTTCCTCTAACACTCTCTCAAGTCTAATCAGTGAAGACTTCTGGATGTGCTTTACATGATATCCATCACAGAATGAGTAGTGTACATTCTCAGCTCTGACATTTAATAAAATACAGACACACAAAACTTCTAGATCGCAACGTACCACCTTTCTCATGCTAACAACTTACCTAAGCATAACAACAATAATCTGTGGGTCACAGTAATAAAAGCACGTCGGAAACGACACCAAAAAGACATCTGTGGTCTTGTGGACTGTAAAAACTGCACATCAGTTATATTTCTCAATTCTTCCTGAGAGCCATAACCAACACACCTATTTAAAAATAATTGAGGTAGAGTTTAAAGTAAAAAAAAAAAAAAAAAAAAAAAAAAAAATCATGTCTTACAATACAGAATAGTCAAAGTCCAAGTCAAATCCATTACCTTATTCCAACATTTTTCCCATTTTCTAAAATCCACTGCAATGAGGTGTTAAATACATCTTCATATTCAGGACCTAAACCCTACCAAGAAAATTACAGAAATAACTATTTTTTTAAAATCTACATTCATTTGACTCTATGTAAGTAATTCTACAAATAAAATACTGTGACATTTTAAGAGTGAATTAATTTTTAAAGCAACAATATTTTCAGATGATCAAATTCAAACTATTTAGACTTAGATGTTTCATTCTCCTATCAAGTAAATGAATAAACTGATCAAGTCAAAAATACAACAATAAATTCAAGCTTCCAAGTATGATGATAAATTCCAGCTTCCAAAAGGAAAAAATTAAAATTTAGAAAAACATATATCCATCATTGTAACCTTAATAGATTTACAGTACTTAAAGACTTTTTCAGTGAGACTAGTGTGATTTTAATTAATGTAACTTTTTGATATAGCACATGAAATATGACAACTAGAAAGTCTCAGTAAGTCAGTAAATTAAAAACATATACTTTTATGTTCTTGAAGACATGCATGAGTAAAAGATCTATTCAAAAACCAAAATAAATCAAAGGACTTTATGACACAGTACAAGAAGTTCGCTGACATAGTTTCAGACTCCAAATTGCAACTGTCTTTAAGAAACTACTTGCAGAGATTTGATGCAGTACCAAAGAAAACTACTACAACTACCTGAAAAGATAATCTAAACAGATTGCCTGTTTTGACTATGCGTTGATATGAGCCTGGATTTTCAACCAAAACATCACAACATAGTGAATGCAGAAGTTGAGAAGAATTATATTACATTTTATTTTGCTAGACACTGATATCTGCAAGATGAAAAACAGTGATGCACTCTTTAATTGTAGTTTTGAAAACAGAATGACTTTTCATTAACATATAGCATGTTCATTATTATTCTAAATGAAAAATTTCAGTATTAATTTGTAACACAATAAATTTATATAGCATCTATTTGCCACAGTAGAATTTTTTAGGATATTAATATATAAACATATATTATATATTCCCATCATCTATAAACAAAAGCCACTTAAGGGCTTCAGAAAACTAAGTGCTGAGGAAGTGCTGCTATGTATAGGTGAGTAGTTTTGTAATTCAAAATATTAAAAGCAAAAGTAGCATCATGTTATATACATATTACATTATTACTGTAATTTTTTTTCACAGAACAAAAGCCTTGTGTCAGTATTAGCACACATGGAAAAACTAGTAGCTTTTTCACCAACTACCACTCTATTGTATGGTTATTCCACAATTTAATCAACTCCTCATTGATGAACATTTATGAGTATTCTGTGTATGGTGTGGGGCGTCAGACAGGGAACCCAGGGCATCATGCACGTTAGGCAAATGATCTACCACTGAGTTACATCCCATCCCAATTTTTTACTGTTTTTGTTATTCTTTAGCCAATTTAAAAAATATATGGGAAGTAATATACTGTTGTAAACATCCTTATATATTTTTGTTCAACAAATATTACTGAGGGTCCACTATGTGCCAGGTAGTACAAATTGGAAGTATAGCATTAATCAAAATTTTCTGTGCTAATGAGCTTATAGTGTATTAAAAAGTATATTTTTCGTACTTTTGTAAACATAGATAGTATTTCTAAAATATGAAGACTTTAAAAAATCTTTAAGGGCCATCCAAATAGCTCAGCAGATTAAAGCACTAGGGCAGGAGGTTCAATCCCCAGGCCTGCCATGCCAGACCCGCCCCGTCCCCAGGGTGTGCTGAGGTAACTGAGACAGGATATGGTGGTATGTGCCTGTAATCCCAGCTCTTGGGAGGCTGTAAATAGGCAGATCACT